ATTCACCAACATATTGGAGACCACATATAGGATTACAATTACCTACAGTATGGTTAGGTTTGGAAAGGTCAGCACGGACAAGTATATTTCTCAGGCTGTTAGGTTGTTTGAAGGCAATCATGGGAGGCTCAGGAAAGATTTTGGATAACTTAGAATGTTTCTCGATTGCTGTCCAATGATCACGAATGGTCTTGAAACTATTTCTCAGGCATGGATGGTAGGTGAGCACACATGGGATTCTTTTGCTTTTCTGTATTTCTTTGTAAGTTAGCAGACTGCTTCTGGGGATGGATTCCGCTTTTTGAAAACTATTTTTGATGTTTTTGTGTTTATATCCCCTTCTTTTCAAATGTCCTTTGAGCTGCCCCAGACGTTGTTTTGCAGTGTTTTCCACACTGCAAGAAGAGCATTCCATACAGCCAAGCTCTCAGAATAAGGCGAATCTGCTCCTCTGAAGACACTGCAAAACACTGTCTGGGGCAGCTCAAAGGACATTTGAAAAGAAGGGGATATAAACACAAAAACATCAAAAATAGTTTTCGAAAAGCGGAATCCATCCCCAGAAGCAGTCTGCTAACTTACAAAGAAAAACAGAAAAGCAAAAGAATCCCATGTGTGCTCACCTACCATCCATGCCTGAGAAATAGTTTCAAGACCATTCATGATCATTGGACAGCAATCGAGAAACATTCTAAGTTATCCAAAATCTTTCCTGAGCCTCCCATGATTGCCTTCAAACAACCTAACAGCCTGAGAAATATACTTGTCCGTGCTGACCTTTCCAAACCTAACCATACTGTAGGTAATTGCCAGCCTTGTGGGGATAAGCGCTGCAAATGTTGCAACCAATTGCAGCATTCATCAACATGTCACAGTAAGACCACAGAAAAGACATACAAGATCTTCTGCAATGTCAATTGCAAAAGCTCAAACGTGATTTACGTTCTTGAGTGTCCTATATGTGGTCTCCAATATGTTGGTGAATCTATGCAGCCATTTCACAAACGCCTTAATGGCCACAGGAGTGACCTCACAAAAAAACCGTATATTCCTGTCAGCCAACACTTCAGGTTACCAGATCACAATCTGAAAGATTTTGATCACATGAAGATCCTTGTGATCGAACAGGATTGTACATGGCAAAATAGGCAAAGAGAATCGGGAGAAGTTTTGGATAAAAACACTGGGTGTCCTCCATCCAGATGGAATCAATAGAAAGAAATAATTAAATTTACAGTCTAATGTTTATATTATGATATTCAGGATTTTGGATTAAAATCAATCCACCAAAACTTACCTGTATTATTACTGATCTATTTTTACACCTTATACATAATATATCAGTATTGTTAAAACTTTTAACACTGAGGAAGGCCATTTGTTGAGCCGAAATATTTGCAATTATTTTATAATTTATATCATCTGTTCAGTTTTTCCATCTTTGTGCGATGATATTCAACACTTTTTAGTGTTTTGTTTTCCATCTATTTATCAGTATTGTTACACAATCTTTTAGACTCATATATATATATATATCAGTTTGATGACTAGTTCAATGCCCTGTCCCTTGTACGTGGTCAAGCAACTTTCAATTAATAAGCAATTTTCAATGTTAAGTTTTCTGCATAAGTACATGAAGTAAATTTGATAGGAACTACTTGTGATAGTTCAATGATATTTTTTTATAAAAGTGTATTACTATCAGTACATTTCAGTTTGAGGATCCTTTTGACCCTGGCCTCTATATCTTGGTCCAGCAACTTTGAATCAATTAGCTGTCCATCAGAATGTCTTTTTTTGAATTTACTGCCAACAGGCGAGACATATCTCGGTGTCAACAGTTTATTTTTATCTTTCAGATTGATTAAATTACATAAGGATATGAAATTTATGAAAGCTTCTTAAAGCAGGATTATGTTATTAACCTAGCAAGGTGTAACACTAAGGCTAGACAGTGTTAAATCACTAATAGGACAAGGCCAAGGGGAAAATCCTTTTATATATATTTTTTTTCAACCCTGTCTGCTTCAATAAATTTGTGTATATAGGAAGATAAATTACTTAAAAAGTCACTAAAGCTAATTAAGTAAACTAATTTTTCATGTAAATTGATAAAAAGATAATAACCTTCTATTCTTTGTGTATATATTTTCCATGCCCAATTAAAAAATTTACCAAATTAAAAAGTATGAATGCTTTTTTTGTCCTCATGCAACACAGTGTGGGGGACATGGAAAAACTGGGTGTCTGTCTGACTGGTCTGTAAAGTTCTCTCATGATAACACTTCTTGCCAGATTTTTATGAAATTCATATCAAAGATTTATATCTACAAGGTCTTGAATAAGATTGAAAGTCAGCGCCCAATAACTATTTTCAAAGGAGTTATGCACCTTGGAAATATAAATTATACAGAAAATTTCATTAAAATGTTTATAAAGACAACAACACCCATCAATTACTGCATGGTAAGATTTTATTCTGGTCGACGTGATTCGCCACCAAGCCATGCGTCCCCAGGACTTCATTGTAAGTGGTCTCAAGCCTACATTTCTTGTAGGATTGTTATTAAATAAAATCAAAGGTGTTTATCAGCCTTGTCTGGGACAAGTTTGAAAAATCAGAGCATATCAATAACGTAGGAGTTTTGTCCCTTAGAAATGTAAATTCTATAGAAAATTGCATGGTAAGCCCTCTCAAATATTCAATTCTTGCAAGATATATATGAAATTTATATCAAAGATTTATACCAGCAATGTCAGAGATAATTTTGAATTTTTAAAGGGTTATGTATAGAAGCATGATGCGGTCAACTTCACATAATCATATCAATTGTCACCTTTGTGTTTTCAAAGGTAAAAACACGAAAGCCTATATTTCTTGTAAGATATTTATAAAAAGATTTTTTTACAAAATATATATATTTTAGTTATCTCCCTTTAACAGATAAAATGTGTGCGTTGCGAGTAACATGGGAACTCTATTCTTTTATTATTTTAAAGAAAATTCTATATAAAAATTGTTTCTTGTTTCCTGAATTGTCAACTCATATATTTACTCCCAACATTCCGAATGTTTATCAGACCTCAAGCTAAACTTCAAATGCTGTACAAATATAGACCACACTAGACTGATTTCTGTTTCTTTCGAAAATAGCCAACAGTTCTTTTTCAACTAAATCTAGCTATAAGAACGTTTTTGTGCAATGTTATATTTCAAAAATTTTAGTTCTGTAATAAGATTTGCTAAATGATGTCACTATTAATAAAACTGGTACTAGTAACAACAGAAAAAGAGAGGCGAAAGATATCAAAAGGACATTCAAACTCATAAGTAGAAAATAAACTGACATTGCCAATGGCCAAAAATAGAAAAACACCAACAGACAAACAGGTAAACAACAGTACACAAAACAAAACATAGAAAACTAAAGACTGAGCAACATGAACCCCAGCAAAATCTCAGGTGCTCCGTACACTCTCCTTTGATTATTGTTTTGACAGTTATCTCCCCTGAAACTATTGACTCCCATTTTACATTTATAGAAATAGTACTTTTTTAATAGTAATCTTTGGTTATTTGTGTCGTTGTGTTGCTGTCACATTATATTGTTTTAATTAATTAAATCCAGTTGGATAAAATATAAGGATTCATCATTCATTGCCAATTCTGTGAAATGCTCTGTTTGAAGCAATTCAGATAGGAAATGTTACACCATTTATAAGGATGTTAAATAATCCCATCCATAAAAAAATTAGATTCCAACAATTTTTTCTTTGTTTTTGACATATACACAGTGCATTATTTTTTTTCTTTTGTCTTGATCTAGTAATAGATATTTTCCAATCTTGTACAAAAAATAAGTTAACTGAATTAAAGTAATAGGTTTTTCCATTTATTGAATACAATGCTCAGATTTATTCCTAAATTTTACATTTTAATGAATGTATTGATGAAATTCATTAAAGCAGTGAATTACAGGATCAAATTTAATGATAATTTTAATATTTCATGTATTGTATGTGTTTGACAAACAGTTAAGTGATTATTAAGGTATAAAATTAGTACTGAAGGACTGCTTCAAGTGATTATTAAGGTATAAAATTAGTACTGAAGGACTGCGTCAATGGTTGACTTGTACTTGATACCCAAACATAATACCAGTAATACTGTTAGCTTTGTATATATTAATGAATTAAATTACATTTCTGTTAAATTTTGATATACCTCAAGCGAAGATATTATTCAGGGAGATTATTATACAAATTATGCAGCATCAACTAATTTCATAACTAGGTTTGCATCATTCTAAAGCACTGTAGATTCAGAAGTTTCATTACTGGTATAAAAAAAATGTCTGCAGGTCCTTGAAAGAAGAATAAGTGCAAGGTGTTACAACACCTCAATTTGATTATTTAGCTTTTGAGGACCAAAAGAAGCAGATGTAATGTTACAAAATGTATTTTCATTTTTGTGTAATTTTAAGAAATTAAGTTACATGTACAGTATACTTTCTTACTGATTTACTTCCAAATTTTATGACAGAGTGAGTTCATTCTGTGCTAGATCAAGATTGTATCCTTGACATAGGTAGGAAAAAGTAAAAGATTGTGAACAACAATGGTTGACAGGTATAGTTATATGGTTATTTGGACTTCCCTAGTCTAGCTGCAAAACCAATCATTTGGGTGTGCAGGATGTACAAATAAAAAATTGTTATAAAAACCAAGGAGATGTGGTATGATTGCCAATGAGTCAAATAACAACCAAAGGACTCAAGGACAAGGATGATAACAACTGCAGGTCACTGTACAATCTTCAAAAGTCAGCAAAACTCATTTCATTAGAATGCTGTTAAAAAGTCCTCTGGTTGCTAGAAATTTTAATCTGTCGTTCTGATACATTGTGTAGTGCTAGTGACTTGTTCTCTGCAAGTTTCGTAACCTTTACAGAATTCATTTTAAATTTGTTAATTAAGAAGTCAAATATTTTTCAATTCTAGGAAATATCGCTGAGGACATTAGATGAGAAGGAAAGATTGTCACTTGGTACTAGATCACGAGGGACATCAAGGGTGTCATCTAGAGCAGGATCTCCTACTCAAGCTAGAAGTATGAAACTGTTTTATTATTCCCAGTTATAGCATGCTTATTGATAGATACAATGTACATTGATGAGGGTTCATAAGTCCCAGAATCATGAAAATTAGACTGGTCTCACTATTGTTCGTATCGATGAATCCCAAGTTGGTTCAAGATTTTATAAGCTGTGTCTAAGAAATCATCATTTCATTTTAACAGAAAATCAAATTAGAAATCTAAACCTTATGTTTCCCTTATTGTGAATTAACCAGAAGACTTAAATAAGGCATTACTTGTGTTTATATTGACATTAACTGTAGACTTGCCGTAGTCAAAGATACAGAGTTCCTTTAAAATAATTTTCAGTGAGAACTCTGTGCAAGAGCATCAAGCATTTCTAAAAAGAACAAGTGAAATCAATATATAATGTCTTAAAATCTATAATTCTAAATGTGGTTCCTGATTCCTACTACTTAGTTAAGTATGACTGTTGTCCAGTAGCTGTACAGTTTGTAATCCTCACTTTTGATACCGGTATATAATTTGGAATATCTGGGGATAAGAAATAGTTTGGAAAATTAAAAAAAATTCTGATGTTGTTTCTGTATTACGATTCAGACTTATGTCAATACTTTCATATCCTCATATTTTATATGTGTATTTAGGCATCATTAAAGATATGACTGAAATCATTAACAAAATCTAAACAACAATGCACTACAACTTACCTAAAAGAAACTAGACTTGACCAAAAACCAACCAAAAATTTCAAACAGTAACACACCACAATGTTCTATATACATGTACCATATTATTTGACTCAGACTTACAACTTTGAGTCAATGATAAATGGGATTAGGCAATTCACCTTGACAAATATAGTTCAACATCATTAGTAATTACTATATGTACTACAAATATATTTTATCAGTTGACAAGGCAAATTTTGTCGGGAAAAAATTAATAATTCAATTCACTGTACAGGTTGTTGTTTTCTAGTGTAGGAATGTAAACCATGAACCACATATCTTTGGATTATTCTTTCTATGAAGAGAAAATACAAACATAAATATTTTAATTTAGATTTAAAGGATATAATTGGTTGAGTCTTATTGGACAAAAGGTGTTTGGAAGAGTGTCAATAATATACAAATATGTTTAAGTTAATACGGTCTTTTGCTGGTACATGTATATATAGGAATAGTTCAATCTAACACAAACAATCAGTTCAAATTCTGTTTTTTATTCAATGTCTTTTAAACTAAATTTGCAATGTTAGTGTAGGTTAACAGATTGTTTGTGTGTTTAAATAGTATCTCTGGCTTGATTTAGTTGCAACAGATCTTAAAAATGTGTCTACCATTGCAACTTTTTATTCAGTAAATAAATCTGTACATCACAAAGATAATGGCAGCTCCAAAAAAAAAACAATACTCAATGCTTTCTAAGTTCTCAACAGTGAGCTTGTCTATCCATATTTAAGTCCTAATGAACAAACAAAGCATTTTCAACTTATTAATGGCTTTGGTCAAGCAGTACATTTGAGTCATCATCTCTGAAACTCAATATTTCATTGGTATAACCCTCTGAAATACCTGTTTGATAAATAATGCCACAATATTTAGATCACCATGACCTACATTTCATACTTTGGTAACTTTGGTTATTTATATTGTATTATAAAACTCAATTTGGAATATTTTGGTTTTTATGAATTACATATTACAGTTGGTCTGCTCTTGTCAAATTTTTCTATTTAAGCCCAGTTTTAGTTTTAACATAATTCTACCTAATGCAAATTTTTAGCAGTTACCTATTATTTTGTATAAATTGTATTTGCATGACATGGGTACTTGAACACGCACAGAGAACTGTTATGTAAATTAACACTTGAAATTTTTGTCACTAAGCATTAAACTGTACTTAATGTAATCTGCATAACATTAAAGAAATGTAAGTATGAAATATATCAAATATAAAATATAAAATTCATATACCTTGTGTTGGTTTAAAATTTAAGTTTAAATTCACTTTAAATTGGAATTCATAATTCATTAAAAAAACCTACATTAACATGTTTTCATGATATAAACATGATAAGTTCTACATCAATGCCTGTAATTAAAAATATATAAATTAGGTAATATCTTTTGGTAAGATGTATTGGAACAGCTATTTATATCATTTTAATTGTAGGACGAATAACAACTTAAAGGTTTCTTTTTGGTCATACACATGAATCACTGAAATTGTTAAATTTCATTCAATAACATATGATTTTTGTCTCGCCTGCGACGAGAGTCACAGAAAGCTAGACATGGGTGTAACCGTGTTGTTTTTCTGGTGGTGGCAATGGTGGAGTATGCATCAACAATTGTTAAGTTTTCTGCTAAAGTTAGTTTGAAAGAAACTACTTGTTATAGAATGATGATATCAGTTTGACGACTATTTCAAGGCCCTGCCCCCTAGGTCATGTTCATGGTGACTGAATTAATTAGTTATTTTCCATGCTAAGTTTTCTTCCTAAGTTTGTTTGATAGGAACTACTTGTGATAGACCAATGATATTTTGTATAAAGTTGCATTACTATCAGTACATATCAGTTTGACCACTGTTTTCAAGGCCCTGCCCCTACATAATGGTCCAGTGACTTTGAAATAATTATCAATTTTAAAAGAAACATATATTAGATTGAATGTTCTATCAAAAAGGTAATTTAAAAAAAAAATCATATTTGCATTTTTATATATCTTTTATACGCATTAAAGGGGCATTAGCTACGAAGAATTGAGGTACATGAGTAACATGGCACTCAGTGCAGTTGTAGAATTGATATGAACACATGTCTAATGCAATATCAAATTGCAAATTTTGTATACTTAATGAAAATGTTTGATTGTTATATATAGCAGAATTTTTTTTTAAATCGAAAATGATGCAATTTTACTCCCATAAAAAGAGAAGTGAAGACAAAGAACATTTGAGTTGTTGAAATACTATAATCCGTAATGAGATATGACAGAGCCTAATAAATTCCTATTAAAATCACTTTTGGTCACTATGTTTTGAAGTTATATCAGCTTTCAAAATTAAAATATAGATAGTTAACATTGCAGAGGTGAAGCAAATATTTTTCCAATAGATTGATTTTTAAAAATAGTTGTTGGCCAATTGATTTTAATGGTACATATGAAATGGACAAATTTGAATAAACAACTGAATGAATAGAATAGACAAAATTTTATTTTCTCAGCTTTTTAAAATGAAGAACTTTAAAATGGTTAATGTGACCAATCAACAAAATCTTTTAAAACTTTAACAAGTCACCAAGGTTAGTTTAGTGAGGTCATCAGTAAGTGGATGAATAGAACATTCTAATTAGTTTTCTAATAATTATAAATCCCTGCTTTTGCAGTCACTCCTATGAGAAAACATTGGTTAGTTTTGAATGTCTTTAATTAAAGGGGTTGAATTGTAATAAATAATGAACAAAACCATACCATAGTTTGCATTTAAATGGCCAATTTAACATTTTGATTAAAAGCCAGCTGAGTAACTTTTCAGCATAAATGAAAATGTATTATATCTAATATATTTTGGGATTTTTTTTTTTGGGAAAACTACTTAATTGAACTTTGAAAACTTGAAAATTCCAATGTCTTGACTTTTTTGTGTAATGGTTGCAGATCTTGAGCTGATGTTTAAAACATTACTGTTTAGTGATAATTTTATAAAAAAAAAACAGTTTATATTTTGTTCTGGTTGAGCTTCTTTTTACAATTATACTGTAAAGTGGGGAGTGGTTTTGCTATGCAGACACATCTATTTATTTAACATATACAACAGCAAGAATTTTTATGTTTCATTATTTGTAAACAAAATGTATGAGATAATATATTCTAGAGTAAACATGTATTTTATTGCAAGGATTTAAACAAGATCTATTTTATATGCGACACTAATTTATCAGCCTAAAATTTAATTTTGCCAACTTTAAGATTTTCTGAAACACCAAGTAAACATTGCTTAAGAGTTTGGCTGTATGTTCCATGTGACAGAATAAAGGATAATTTTTTACATGTACGTAAATGTGAAATTTATTATCCTTGTGCTATTCAAATTGTTTACTCAAAGTTTTGAAGGCAACATCTAATGAAGACTGGTCTAAAGATTTGATTTACATTTTGGAGCTTTATCACTACCAAAGAATTGCTGCATATTTGTTAACAATCCCCCAAGCTTAAGAAAATACTTATTGAAATGGTTTGAAGATACTTAAGTACAAAGTATGAAAAGGGATATCAGTTGGCCCCAGAGAAACAAGTAATAATAATTTTAAGGTTTTAAAATCTTTTCAAAAGAATTCATTATTAATGTTTATGTTCTGTTTTCTTGATTATAGTATACGGTATATTGTAACGAAGTGTGTACTTTGTTTGTAGTATTGCAAACATCGAGACTGGATAAGTTTAGCAAACATAAAAATTTGCATGCATTTAAAATTCTGATAGCATTTTTTGTATGCAGCATTTCCAAAATTTTAATAAGTTATCTCACATCTTGGTCTATTGTTCATCAATTACTATAATAGATACATGCAAAAATTTATGAATTCTATTTAGTTTAAAATTGATTTGATGTCTTGCATCCAAACAAGTCTTCAGTCAGTGGCGTAGCTAAGCCATTTTTAAGTGTACGCCCGAACCTCAGCAAGGGGTTTGAGGGTCCCCAGCGGGTACAGGGCCAGGGACCTCCCAGCAGTGGTCCGACGGAAGCTAATGATTTATTGAGAGAGAGATACTATTTCTATCATTAAAACTCATCAATAGCAACATACTTTAAAGTCTAATTTCTTGATTTATTTATGTATAATTTCTTCAGTGTGTTGATTTGGAATCTAATGGTTAATAGTTGTTACTATGAAATATGTTTAAAAGGAGATGTGGGGTAAAACAATCAATCGACCAAAGATCCAAACCTTTAAAAATATAAAAAAAGCAAGTCTACATTTTCAATGGTGTCGTTCTTTTGATTATTATGACTTAATCTAGTTTTCTCCCCTTTTATGCGCAAATTTCGTTAATGGACAAGTACATGCAATAATAAATTGTCATAGATGGTCAGGTGTGATATGAACATACTCAAAGGGTTCCGTGGAATCCTGTGGCTTTTGTCGGTTAAACTATAAAAAGTGAATCCATTTATCAGTCAAACTTTTCTTTAAATGTTTTTTTCTTGATTTTGGAACATAAGCTTCTGTCCAAGTTTCATAACAATCTATGAAAGTTTACAAATGTAGCAGGTGAAAAATATTTAATCCAAGACCGTCTGCTAATTGCCCCAAAAAAATGGTAAAATACTGAAAAATGAAAAAAAAATTTAATTTTTAGACTGAAATTTGCTTACTGTTATAAAAGTCTTGAAATAATTTAAAAATAAAGGAATATATCTCCCCCATGCAAAGCTCTGATTCTTTGTCCAGAATTGGCTATACTTTAGGTACTTTTTATTTTGATCAGCTCTTCCAATGTTTTTATTAGGTTTTGGTTTTTCAAATATTTCGGCCTTGAGCATCACTGATGAGACATTAATTGTCAAAATGCGCATCTGGTGCAAAAAAAATTTGTACAGTTGGTGTTAACATTTTTACATAAAATTCGATGAAGTTTTGACAAAGTAATTGATGCGTAACAAATGGTATCTACTTGTTAACTAATAAAAACAATGTTCTTTTCAGTAAAATGCGGAAAAATTAAAAATAAATTTTCATAATTATGCTCTGGATACTCTTTTGGTCATAAAAAAGTTTCTGCCTATATTCTGTAAAATTTCATAAAGGTTTTACAAATTTAATGATGTTTTAAAAAAAATTTAACCACAGGCTGTACATAAATATTGACGACGCCAACGCCGATTACAGAATGTCTCGAAGGCTCGACAAAACTGCATATCGTATCTCAGCAAATAATGAATTACTTCAAACTATAGGAAAGGGAGGATAATTCACAGTGGATTCAGAATTTGACAGAAAAACAAACAAATAATAATAGGATATCATTTTATTTAAAAGTAAATTTCTTCCGACTGTTATCTTCAATTACAGTCAGTGGAGAAAGAACTACAAGGCTCATGTGCTTTTAGCCAGATCTTTTAATCTATTTAGATTAAAATATTTTTTCTCCAAAGTCATGTGAATGCCGGGCCTTTTGACGTAAACATAGCTACGCGCCTGTCAGTTATTTTCTTGCATGAAATGCAATCAAAACCCTATTGGTACTGACTTCATTTCTATATCTTCCAAGGTTTATCATTACCTTTCATAGTTCAAACAAAATAGTGCAGTGAAGTAATCATTCTTAAGATCCGATCTAGTCAATGTCATGCAATTTATTGATATGTTATACTTTGATATTCAAGTTACAATATGATGTGTATTTGAATTACCATATTTCAAGAAAACTTTTTTTATTAAAAATTACATAAGAAATGCATGAATCTGTTATAAAAATAGGTTAAACTACAAATCATGAACAAAGGAAGATAACTCCAACTCAAGTTTACAATTTCCCTAACTAAATACTTTTAAATTCACAAAATTGCAAAATGAAAGCAATCTTTACCCTTCAGTGCTCACAAAAATGCAAGCACTTTGATTAAAGTAATCAGAAAAGTCTTATTTTTGGATAAGACAATAAATCATCTTTGTTTTGTAAATGTACAAAATAGCTTACCATGATACTCATGAAAATATCCATATAAATGTCAAATATGTTTGCTTAATAACTGGTAAAAAAAAGAAAAGATGAAGTGAAAGTTATGATCATGTATCATCTGAACAAAGGTTGTACTTGGTAGTTGAGTCAATAATTTTATTTCATTTGTTTTATTTGTATTTCCAGAGGTTCATTTTAAGACAGAAGATGGTGATAAGAAACAGAAGAACAATAATGATCAACAGAGTACCAAACAAGTGCAATATGAACTACCATTACAAAATGGTGATGTTGACAACCAATCAAAACATAAGAAAAAGAAACATTCGAAGAACTCTGTTAAACCAATCACAGACAAGAGCACAAATGACAACAAAATTCAACAACCAATTACAAATAATAATACTGGGGAAGTTAGTGAAAAAGAGGTGAAACAACTAGAGAAGAAACTGTCAACAATCGATGAACGTGCATCGAGCCGAAACAGTGGTAAATCAGATGAAGTGAAACGATAGCCGTAATTATATTGTAAACAAAGGCATTGAAGAAATAACAATTTATAGGACACTGAAATTTTTCAGTTAATTTTGGTATCAGATGATTTAAGTCTTATTTATAGAAGATGTTCACACTGATTTGTTTAGCCTAAACGTGCTGTTTACAGCATCTTTGTTACTGTATTTAATCTAAAATGACCTTTCATAATTGTATAAACAGGTAATTGAACAGCAAATTGCACTTGTCTTTCTATGCACCTGCCATAGGCAACGGAGGCATTAAGTGTTACCCTTGTCCATCCATCTATACGTCTGTCCAATTTTCATTTCGGCACTCTCACTTAAGTTTACCTCATGCACTCATGCACTCATACACAATGTTAAGAACCTAAAACCTAAACAGTGATTGAATTTGGGTAGTGAGTCACTTATGGTTCTAGAGTTATGCCCTTTATAACTTGGAAAATTGAAAGTTTTTTCATTTCTGCACTCTAACTTTTTCTCATCCAAATTTTATGAAACTCATACCCAATGCCAAGAACCAAACCTAGTAGACAGAGTTCTAATATGAGCAGTGAGTCACTTACCGTTCTAGAGTTATGCCCTTTATAAATTGGAAAATTGCAAAATTTTTTTGTTTCTGCACTCTTTCTTCAGTTCGTCTCATCAAAATTTTATGAAACTTATACACAACACATATACAGAGTTTGAATTTGGGTTATGAGTTATTCACCGTTGTAGAGTTATGCCCCTTTTTAACTTGAAAATTGCAAAGCGTGAGCGGGGGCATTTGTGTTCTCAGTCACATTCTTCTTTTATTCTAATATAAATTTTTAAAATGTAATAGATGTAATATGAAAATCATTGAACCTTCATAATTGTATATGTGTAAATTGTATTATGAGATTTTGCTTTTAGCATAGTTAGCTCAAAATAAAATACTGAGAATTTTTATAGTTGAACTATCAGTTACAAAAATATTGTGTTTCTTTTCATATTCCATCCTTCTCATAATGTTTTTATAGAATCGAGGGTTTTTTTATATAATGGTTTTAGCCCTTTTTCATCCAAAAAAGTAAAAAATCAATCTGTTTATGTTTTGTAAAAATTATCTTTTAGAGAATCTTCAAATTTCCATTGTGTGTTGTTGAAAATGTTTATTTAAATCATAAGTACTCTTTCTATAAATATAATTATTTTAGATGTCTGAAATCCTTACCAACCCTTATTTTAACAATGGTAATGCTATTACTTTCAGCTTATTCTTGGATGTAAAATTGTATTCAGACATTTACAGTCATAATTGAAATTGTTGAAATTTTAAACATATTGCAACAAATGCTATGAAACAACCATAATTATTGTTAATTATGTAATAGAAACACAACATTTTTTCAGTGGCAATCTTGTCTGTACATATACTTTTATAGTTTTTAATAGAAAAATGTAAAAAGCTTAAGACATAAATACCTCAAACCAGAATGTCCTCATTATTGAATAAACATGGATACCAAGATGTGTGTGTCTATTTATTTTGAATTGTGGTACATTTTTTATTTAGGCAAAATTTATATGTATGATGGTTCATGGCTTTTGTTTATGTCTTTGTGTTTTAAGGTAGTATGGTGTATAGACAAAAAATGACAGATTTTTGTAAGGAATATACAGGGAAAAGGTATTATTATGTGAATAATTAAAAGAAGACTTAATAATAGATATTTGAAATAAAATATGAGAAGGTATAGCTCTTACAAATTGGTTTCAGAAATTAAAGAAATTAGGTCACTGTTCTTTTTTTTTGTTCTAATAGAAAATAGAAAGATCAACTGTACACTCCTTCATAAAATTAAGTTACCCGACTTATTTTCTATTATAAGGAAATTTTAAATCAATAAAAAATAATCTGTATTTGTAAAATTAGTTGTAATAACAAGCTGAACAGCTTTAAAAACAATTTGCATTCCTGCCACAAAATTTTCTTATTTCAATTTCGACATTGTTTTCTGCTATTTTACAATAATTGTATTTGTAATATAATCACATGACCTATCATAAAAAAAATAAAAAAATAAAAATTTTATAATACTAAGCAGTTTAAGTCTACTGTATTTAGAAAAAAAACCACATATTAAATACCATCAGGTATGATGGTGTTCTCACATATAACTTTGTTTAAAATTTTGAAATCTTTTAGATAAAATATGTTTTTGGAGTCCAAATTGCAACAAGAGGAACCAGTCAGTTTGTAAAAAATATGTAAATTCATGTTATTCTTCCTAGCAAGGAATACCCATTCATAATAATCATTGTAAATACTAGGATAAATCTTTGCATAAATGACTGACTCCACTAGTTAATGCCAGTCCAGCTCATTTTGGATAATAGAAAGAGTGTAAAAATCAATCTTTGTGTCTTGATTAGAACAGGGACTTTTTAGCTAAAGTAATTTAAAACAACAGAAGTTTGCACATATTTTGTACAATTGATTGTAACCTTATTTCGGATGTATAGTGCAGTTTATGATTATACTTATTATGAGAAAATATAATCTTCATGAATATTTGTATATTTGACCATATCAGGGATCATTGAATTTATACATGATTTTGCTATATAAATATATATATTTATTGGGAGGATAATCTGTTTTGAAACTTATAATTGTACATTGAAAAAGGTTTTTGATAATCTTTATGACAAATGCTCATTTTGTAGAAAGCATGGTTTTGTAATATGTTTATTTTTCCAGTCTGATTAAGAATGAATTTTGCTTGTACAAAGTTAAATAAGTGTTTTAATGGTAAACACATGACAAAATCGAAGAAATTTCTTAGTCAATGTTAAAGAAAATTATTTTTAGAACTTTTCAAATGTACAGAAATGTATGGCTTTCTATATACTACGTTATGAAGTGTATAAATATGAGAAAGATAGAAATACGAAAAACGACCGTAAATAGAAGCAGACATAAGAATTTGCATTTAATCTTATTGACACAGTTACATTTTTCTTGTAGACTTAAAATCATGACACATTGTTTTATGCCATTTTACCCTTAGTGACACAGTTGCATTTTTCTTGTAAACTTAAAAACCATGACAAATTGTTGAATGAGTATAAATGAGGTTAATTTCTATTTGTTAGATATCCAAGACAGTATTAGCAGTTGCCAACACTTGTCAACTGTTGTCACCTATTAACTTTTAAGGAATTTCCTCCTTTTGAAGTTATGTACGAAAATTTACCTTGATTTTATTTATATCTGTTTAGTTTACTTGTTACAATACTGTTCTTGATACAGTACCAAAAGGAAAATTTGATAAGACTGACTATGTATAGCATTAAGTGTATTGGTAAAAATGTTTTTGTACGATAAGTGTGAAAGAGTGATATATGGAGTATTACAGAGACTTATCTGTAGTGTCAGGTTTGGAAAATGACTCCTAGATATTTATTATACAACTACAATCATTTTTTTTTTCCCATAACAATTACATATGTTGGAGATCTCATTTGTAATGCCATAAGCACTTTTTTTAACAATGATTACTAATTAATTTTTATGCAAATAGAAAGGAAAATAGTTGAGTGGAGAAATGATTAGTTTTTATACGCCCATTTACGGTATACGGTTGTCCGTCCGTCGTCAACATGACCGACAATAACTCAAAAACGCTTTAACCAATTTGCATGAAACTTTGTTGAATTGTTTATATCTATTGACATGAGCTCCTTTCGATTTTTTATAAATTTTAGATTTTATATTTTCGAGTTATGGGGTTTTATTCATCAAAAAAGGGGGATTTTCCAGTTTTCGGCCAATAACTCAAAAATGCTTTGAGCAGTTTTCGTGAAACTTTGGTGAATTGTTTATAGCTATTGACATAAGCTCCCTTTCAATTTTTGTTGAGCCTGCAACTTTTGTCGCAAATGCGAGACATAGCAATCCTACATTCCGTCATCTGCGTCGTCCACAAATAATCACTCTGTGGTTAAAATTTTTGAAATTTCAATAAATTTCTTAAACTATCCTGGATTTCTACCAAACTTGGACAGAAGCTTGTATATGATCATAAGATAGTATCCAGAAGTAAATTTTGTAAAAAAAAATCCTGTTTATCCGTATTTTACTTATAAATGGACTTAGTTTTTCTTCCAGTTAACATTACATTCTCTCTGTGGTTAAAGTTTTTAAAATTTTAATAACTTTCTTAAATTATCCTGGATTTGTACCAAACTTGGACAGAAGCTTGTTTATGATCAAAAGCTAGTATCTAGAAGGAAATTTTGTAAAAATTATTTCCTGTTTTTCCATATATTACTTATAAATGGACTTAGTTTTTCTTCCATTTAACATTACATACAGTCTGTCCTGGATTTTTACCAAACTTGGATAGAAGCTTCTTACAATCAAAAGATAGTATCTAGAGGAAAATTTTTAATAACTTTTCCCCCATTTTTGTTGAGCCTGCGACTAACAGCAAAAGTAGGCGAGACACTGGGTTCCACGGAACCCTTTCAAATTTTTATAAATTTTAGATTTTATGTTTCCGAGTTATAGGATTTTTTCGTAAAAAAAGGATTTTCCAGTTTTCGGACAATAACTATAAAGTTCTTTGAGCAGTTTTCATGAAACCTTGGTGACTGGTTTATATCCATTAAAATAACCTCCCTTTAGTTTTTTTTATAAATTTCTGATATGACATTGTGGAGTTATGGAATTTCATTCTTTGAAAAAGCGAAGGGAGTATCATGCGCTCATGGCAGAGCTCTTTATTAAAATTGCTTGACCAGTTTGAATTATTTTAAACTTAAGGAAATATCTTCATGTTATTTCACAAATTTTAATTGTTGAATAATAATTCTATAATTTAAAATATGAAGTATTGCTTTTATACTCTACAGAACTAAATTGAAATGGCAATAGTTCCAATACTCTTATCATCAATACTTCAATGATAAATATTTTTGTTAAACCTTTGATTTCAATAGAATTTCTTAATATTTTCAAATAGAAAGAATTTTGAAAATTATGTATAATAAGAAATTACTGTAAATTCAAATTAATGTTTTGTTTTCATTCATTTGAAAAATGTAACAGGAGAAAAATTGTATTAAAAAAGATATGCATCCTAATTTTTGTATGGAAATGTTCTATTACAGCTTATTCAACATTTAAAATTTTACATTATCAAAGATCCACATGACCGATTCATACACATTCAGTAGTATTTGTAGGTAGTTTTGTAATTCTAACAGACAATGGCAAATGGTGCTGTTGACTTCTCACCATGGAGAAATTATCTTTTATAATTGGCATTGGATTAATTAATCATTGTGATAATTCTACTTAATTCATAACTAATTAGTTGATTATGGGTCATCATTTACTATTTTTGTCATTATGTCACTTGGACTGTGGTAATATTTATTGCTTTGAAGAAAATCTTTAAAATGCGATCAATCCATCTCATTTGAATTTAAATTTAAGAAAATTAATTTGGATTTTCTTTTCTTTTTTTTTTTTTTAGATTTCTACTCTTTAAATAACTATAGAGTAATTGGACAGTTACAACACTAGATAACAAACAGAAATTGTATTTTATAAATAACATGTATGCTGAAATACCTCTAACATTTGTGATCAAAGTAGTTTCCATTTAAGATTAGTAATTATTTTTAAAATGCAGTAGATTTAATCGAAACAATCCTTTTTTTAACTCTCTATGATAATGCTGACAATATGAAAATTTGGATTTTAATGAAACATATTCTGTTAAAATTAATAATAATGATCAATTTGAGATTCCTTGAATTGTGGTAATTTCATTTAAATCAGATATTGAAAACACTTTGTAAAGTTTCTAATGGGACAATACTAAGCTCATTAAATTTCCCTGAAATTAATTCTGCTAAAATTTGTATTAAAGATTATTTTATTCTTGTTTGAAATAGCCATTTACATGTTTGCCTATTTTTACAGGCCTAGCTGTAAACAAATTGAAAAGTAAAACAGGAGTGAAATGTTATACCAGATAATTATTTGTACCGGTATGTACCAGTAGGTCAGAGATCACTTGGTGTTTTTAGTTGTTGTCATTTTTTACTGTGATATTTATATTCCTTCCACTTTACTTATATGATATTAAAATTTTAGCTGTTATATTGCCAGATATTAATAAATTTATCTTGACAAAATTCATTTACAATTTTTTATGCCCAACCTACGATAGTAGAGGGGCATTATGTTTTTCGGTCTGTGCATCCGTTCGTCCATCCGTCTGTTCATCCGTCTGTCCCGCTTCAGGTTAAAGTTTTTGGTCAAGGTAGTTTTTGATGAAATTGAAGTCCAATCAACTTGAAACTTAGTACACATGTTCCTATGATATGATCTTTCTAATTTTAATGCCGAATTAGAGTTTTTATTATTCGTAATGTCAAGATCTCCTCACCACAATTATGAGATAACTCCTTAAGGAGCTATTGCCCTAAAAAGAGGGCATTTAAACTCATAAGTCGAAAACAAACTGGCAATGCCATGAAAAAAAAACGAAAACCAACCAAAAGGCAAACAATAGTATACAAAAACACAACATAGAAAACTAAAGATTGAGCAACATGTACTCCATGAAAAACCAGGGGGTTTCAGGTGCTATGGAAGGATAAGTATACTGCTCCACATGTGGCACTGGTTGTGTTGCTCACATAAGTACAAACAGGGTGATAAGTCTCATTTAGCAGGTCACATTTGAGGAATGGAGGGATTGTAGTTACAACAGTTGAATATCAGTAGACATCTGTGAAACAGATATCCCATAACGGTCAAACAACTCGTGATGGCACCCTTAAAATTTTCGAAGGGATGATTTCAACTTCACCACTTGGAACTCTTGGCTTAATAGCTTCCTTGTGAGCAGCAACCCTCTATCAAGGAAATCATGATAGGAAATGCAAGCTCTGGAATATCATATCAACTGGGATATATATACGTCATATGCAGGTGCTGCTGGAATGTTGCTACATAGAAATTGAAAGTTCACAATTGGGAATCTTAAATTATATCTTTTGTTGTAAAGTTTTGTTCTCAACCAACCCCCATTGTCAATTTCTCGATGTAAGTCAAGATATGAGGCAGACTTAACTGTATCTGTTGTATCCTTTATTTCAAGTTCGATGGAATAGATGCATTCAACATAGTCACCAAACTTTGGATTATTTAGTGAGAAGACATCATCTATATTGCAGAAAGTAAAATTACAGGAATTTGCTAGCTTCTTTTCCTTCTACATAAGAAGCTCCTGTTTGTAGTCTGCCTCATTTGAATAAAGGAACTAGTCGGCAAGAAGAGGAGCACAGTTGGTTCCCATGGTGCCCAATCCTTCAATCATAATAAATATGTTGTCAATCAAGAAATCAAGAATTTGATAATGTTAGTTTCAGAGAATTTTTTGTTCGAAGCAAAGTGGCTTTTTTTTTTTACAAAATATGATTTGTCCCTCAGTTAAACAAGATTAGTATCTACGTTGGCCATACAAACAAAGTAGAACAAATTCTTTCAATTTGTCTCTAAGCTTGAAATAGGGAATACTTGTATAAGAAGTGGAAAAGTGAAATGTTTTTATACTATTGGAAGAGAAAAGAGACTTAGATTTTATGTACTCTAACAGATCTTTGGAATTTTTTTAGTATCCGCATCTGATCACACAGCCCCTAGAGTAGGTAGTTTCACAAGAACTCTGAAGTCCTGATTGATTGCTGATAAAATGTTCCGTGGAACATTTTGAAGACCTTTCAATATAACGTTCTTTGTAAGGACACTTATTTAATTTGAGTATTCAATAAAGTGAAGGAAAACCAAGTTCTTTAACTTTGGTTGACCTATGATTATTCAGGATATCCTCATTGGTAAGTGTCGTGGGAGTAAATTCCTTTATTAAACAGTTTATGTAATATGAATTACACACAAAAACGATGTTGTTTGGGGCTGTATCTGCGGGGACAATAACATATTTGTCATATAGGTAGGACAGATGTTTAGCAATATTTCGGTCTTTAAAGATCGATGTAGCATGTGTAATTCTAACTTGTATAAACGTCTTTCAAGCCTCAACCCATTCAGAAAAAGTATCTTCTTTTTAAATTCGAGTTTAGCCCTGTCATATTCCTCGACTAAATCCATCAGCATTTCAAAGTTGTGTTTCTATTTGATGGATTAAGTCTCACGATATTTCGGTCCTTTGGATAAAACATTCACAGAGAAGTGTTATCTACAATGTTCAAATCACCAGTAATAACTTGGCCAGCCGGATTATATATGAATAAACTCATCATTGATACCAGGATACAAGGCTTAACAATTTTGTACGCCAGACGCGCGTCTTGTCTACAAAAGACTCAGCAGTGACGCTCGAATCCAAAATTTAAAAAAGCCAAATAAAGTGCGAAGTTGAGTTGAATAAGGGACTAGCACAGGTGCAGTCAGGAGGTTTAAACTTGAGGTCGTCAATATTTAGATCCTGCAACACGTGTTTGTAATTGAAAATTTAAAGGGGCACTAGCTGTCAAATTCATGTTCACCGATTTGACTCAAATTCTCATATTTGTTATATTTAGTTTTACTAACTTTTGTGGGTCATCCTAAGATATTAGGCTACAGTGAAAATCTAGTCAAGTTAAATTTCACTCATTATTTAATCTAGTCTAATCATATTATCAAAATATCATGAAAATTATCATAATTTTATTTTTTATTTCTTAAATTGAAATTTTTAGTAAACATGTATATCATTTTAGTGTCTATAAAATATGTCTAGTGCTATATCTGTGTCTTTGTAATATTGTGTATCTGTCAAATTCATGCCTTTTTATCTTGAATAAATATATTTTTATAACAATGTAAAACATTTATCCAAATTATAAAAAAATCTAAAATAAACAATTTACAGGGCATAGGGTCGATAATATGTAGCTTCGTTTTGTGTGTATTTTAGTCTAGACGCCATTTAATTAACTGTAGAGTTGACCTCACGAAAACCACCGATGCCCATATAAGGGATATAAACATAAATAAAGATATAAATAGATAGCGCAACTCGTGCAATTGGATTCTTCTAGGTCTATTTAATTTCATTTATAGATTAAAAATATATGTTAATCATCATTTTTATCTGTATAAGAATGATTTTTTTGAGGATCGAATCAGTCAATTAAATGAATTACCTTTGTTTACTTTCAATGTTGTCATTCTTTTTACGGATTCAATGAGGTCGAATTATTCACTTGCAAGTGAATAATTCATCATCAATATTTATTTGCTAATTTTGACAAAGTTAGACAATACTGACTGCTAAAAGCGAATTATTATTTCACTATTCCACTTTCATTAATGATTGAACAAAAAAAATCATATTTTATAATTTTTTTATATCTCGTAGCTAGTGCCCCTTTAAGTCACAATTGGTTGAGTATAGGTAAAAGAGATGATAAGTACAGACTTATCTTTAAAGTAGGGAGGTATTTTCGATTAAACTTATTTATGATGAAGGATATTGCCCAAGTTAATGGCATCGATACAGTTGTTGGCAAAGAAAAGTTTTAAAAAAGTGTCTTTTCTCCGTTTATTCTTTGTCAGTGCGAACCAGTCTAAAAAGTAAATTTGTATTGGGTTAAGTAGGAATTTGTAACAGTGGTTTGTATACATAAGTGGTACAGAGATTGAAGTTTTGAAAGAAGTAGTGAATGAAGCTGCACGCGGATGTGATGATTACATAACCACTTCTGTATAAATAGTAGAAAATGACCATGACTGAGTCTACGTCGAGGATCAGAGTTGAAAATATTCATCACATTTACCGAGTTACCTATACTATTAATTTTGTTATTGCAACCATATGGTCACAAAAATGGTGCCGTAGGTCCCAATTCTCGAATTCAGTTGTCTTCCTTTCAGTAGTCGTTCCTTTCCTTGCCTTTTGTCTACGGAGAGGATGGCACGATGGTGATTGGTAGTCTTGTGGTATATTTGTTCAATAATGCAAACTCGCATATCAAGGACTGCATGATCAGACTGATTAAAATGTTGATAAATCATTTGCGTTGTTGCTAATGTCTGATATATCAATCCGTAAATGTTACACTTTAGTTCATAGGCGAGATTTTTTGTTAGTCTTTTCTTTTTTTTTTGCAAGGGTGTTGTCTGTTTGTTTTCGACCTGTTAGCTTGAATGTCCCTTTTGGTAACTTTCGCCTCTCTTGTTGATTTACACTTTAAACCATCGTAGGTCCTGGTTTAGAAAGTATACTAGTTAAATTGCTAGTCAATTAAGCATGTTATTAAAATTTCACAGCTTTTGCAGTTTTTGAAATGAGACAGTCCAACATGTCTTGTAGTAGAAATGTACACGGTCGGGTGTGAAGATTATTGCTATTTCATGAAGACTTGGTTTTACAAAGTTTTTTTGGACAATCTATGCAGTATCGGAATCATGTTTTAGTCGACAGAAAGGCAGTCGCATGTTAAAAATTTTAATCATAATTTGGAGAGGTGAAAGGATAGCGTTTTAAAAGTAACTCTATGAACATTCCTGTCATTTCCATATCAATATCATTAATGACAAATGTTAAAAAAGAAGAAGTTGAAACTCATCAAAGACATCATGCTTATAATTTGATACGCCAGACCTACTAGTATCGAATCAAAATAGTTCAAAGGCAAATACGAAGTCTTCCCTTGTCAAGCCGTTAACCCGCCGCCTCTTATTTTTTATTTCATTTTTCCAGTCCGGAACAACCACTAAGCTACTAAAAAACAAAAAAATCTGAGGGTGGAAAAACCTTAATATTTCGAATAATTTTACATTTAAAAACAGTAAATTTACAGAAAATGAATATATCAATGATATTTCATGTCACCACGAAAGAGCCGACTACTTGGATGGTGATGCCCTCGTGGTAGAAACATCTATCAGCAGTGGCAACGACCCAGTGGTTACATACAGGAGTCGGTTTCACAAAAAAAACTTACGACTAAGATTGATCCTCGATTGATCGTAAGTCATGAACAATTCAGTATACTCACGATTAATCTTAGTCCTAAGTCTTTTTGCGAAACCGATTTCTGGAAATCTAATGAAACTTGATGAGAAGCTTTCTTTTGTGATCCAAAAGACAGTACTAAGTATCTATAGCAAATTTATTTTTTCTCTCTGTTTCTCGTATTTTACTGATAAATGGACAAGTTTTTACAGTTAAGATTACGATACTGTCTAAGATTAAAGTTTGCAAACAAAAAATAACTTTATCTAGCCTTCATAAAATTTACGAAACTTACCAGAAGGATTTTTTATAAACAAAAGACAGTATACAGAGTAAAACTTTGAAAATGTTTCTTTTCAATTTTTCTGCATATCTAACTGACACAAGGACTTAGTTTTTTTTTAAAGTTAACATTCAGATACAGTCTATAGTTCATTCTATAAAGACATTTATAACTTTGTTAAACCTTCTTAGAAGTTTATAAATCTTTTTCAAATGTGTTGCTATGATTAAGAGATAACATCTGATGCAAAGTTTTTATAATAGATGTTTTTCATTTTTCAGTAATCTACTGATAAATGGAGTTAGTTTTAGCAGTTTACATTTACATACAATCTTGGATTAAATTTTAAAGACATCAATAACTTTATCAAACCTTCATGGAATGTTATGAAACTACAAAATGTTCAGCGAAACTCTTTACGATTTCCTTGTCAACCATTAGGAGTTTAGAGAAATAGTAAACCTATGTTTGCACATGGAATTCTTCCCAATAAAATCATCTACAAAATGTTATTTTCTTTACAGGTAAATTTTGGGAGACAAAAATCTTAGTTTCAAGTCCCTTTATACTAATTCTCTCTGTAAATAACCAGTATGACTTATACAAACAACTGCAGTAATGAAACTACCAGTATTACGATAGTGATTTATCAAGATTTTTGTCCCACCACCGTACCTCAATGGAGGACTATCGCCCTGAACATGCATGCAATATTTGACAGTGGACGTTAGGCAACCAACAATCAATCAATCAATGGAAGACTGAAATATAATTATGTTTATGTTCACAACTCTCCTGAACTTTTCACCAGCGATTTGTGCCACCTTGATTTAATTATGATTTGTATCACGGCCTCACAGCCTTGCATGATCCAGAAAGAACATTTGCGTTTTTACCACGTTTTTCCATCATCTGGCATAATCCGATAGCAATTTTAAACTATGATGAGTTTATTTACAACCACTGGGTCGATTATCTGTTTACAAAACCTAGAATATTGCGAAATACTAAGGATTTTCTACCCAATGAATAAATATCCTTAGCTGTATTTGGTAAAACCTTTCGGAATTTTGGGTCCTCAATGCTCTTTAACTTCGTACTTGATTTGGCCTTTTTTAACTTTATTGTTTCGAGCGTCACTGATGAGTCTTCTGTAGACGAAACGCGCGTCTGGCGTGCAAATTTTAATCCTGGTATTTATGATGAGTTTGTTTAAAGCTGTGTCAACAGTTTACATAGTTTTACATGAAGTTTGTTGTGGAACTTTTCGTCTTTTCGTCGTTTTTTGCTATGGCGTTGTAACTTTTTCTTCGGCTTATGAGGTTTGAATGTTCCATTGGTATCTACTTTCCCAAACAGTTTCTGTGTAAATGGCAGAGGTTCATTAATAGAAACAACACAAAGAGAAGAGGATGTATAATGACGCTGACCATCTTGAGGAGCAGAGTTGAGAATAATCATCACATTCACAGAGCTGCAGAAAGGACTTGATATACCCTTCACTGTAATGGCTAGCCGTTTTTATATTTATTCAATTTCATGATATCTTATAAAGTAAATAAGATATCTTATAAAGTATATGAGATATCTTGTATTCCTTTTGAGATTTCTTATTAAGTTTATGAGACATCTTTAAAATGAAATAAATATAAGATATCTTATAAAATTTACAAGATAGTCTTTAAAATAAACAAGATATCTGTATAGCTTAATAAGATATCTTATTTAGTTAAAAGATATCTTATTTAGCATGTTTAGTTTAAAAGATATCTTGAAAATGGAATAAATATAAAAACGGCTTGTCATACACTGTTCCTAGTTCCAGTTGCACATGTCTTCTTTTTTATCAGAAGTGTTGCGAGATGAGGATGGCATTAGTACTGTGTTATATATATTTTTTCCATGATACAAAGGAATATCCAATAAAACAATACATAGGACAGTCTTTTTTGTAAAATTCTCTATCGCTTACTTAAAGTATTTTATTTGTTTTATTGAAAATTGTTATCGATGGCAGTTTTGATAGTTTCTGATTAGCATATTTTATAGACTCGGGACGATTCAGAGTGTAACTTATGTATTGTATTAGCACCGGTCGTTGCATTCTCTTTAACGTATACCCCATGTTTAGCTCATTATGATTGAAAATATTAAGGCTATCAAGTAAATTTGTTTTTACACCAAAATGAACTTGACTTTTATTTACCTTGTGGAGAACATTCAAACGAAATGAACAGTGGTGACAAATTGGTTGCAAATATAGTGTTATCGATAGACAAGTATGTAGTTGAGTAAAAATCATATTAATAATATTGCAAATACAGAAGATAGACGCGTACGCTGACAGATACAAAATACAAAAACATTATGGTTTATATGTGGAAATTTGAATAGAAACGGATTAGATTGTCAATATAAATATGTATTGATAAACCGGACACCATGGAAAGCACTGAACAAATTTAATTCCATACATGATACAAGTAAATTGCAGGTAAAAAATAATCTTATTATTGTTTATTATTAGATTAAACTTAACCTTGACTGACTGATATGTGTACTTTTTATATAGTATTACATATACATACGAGAAAAAGATAGTAAGTATGCAATTAATGTGTATGATTATTTCAATGTATATTAAAAAAGTGTATATTTAGCCAATTTTAGGTGTGGGATTTAATGTTTTATGCTTGGTTCATGACTGGCAACCGAAATACAATGAACACCAAAGTCCTTGAAAATGACAGTCACCTTCCCTTTTCTAAATTTAAACCGAAAATATACCGTAATCATAAGAGCAGCTATTGAAAATAATCAATGTCATATCAGCTATTTCATATGCATATTTTAAGTGATATGATGCATCGTTATGAGATAAACAATAGAATGGCAATAAAATATGGACATTGGAATAAAACATAATGAGATTATTCCATCGGTCAACAATACTCTGATATTGGTTTCATTCAGTTATTCAATATACCTGAATAAGAAACGATATCCCCGACACAGATAATAATTTCATTGTATGTAATGAAATGATAATACTTTCAATCTTCCCGAAAATTCCCAAGCGTGATGATTTCAACTTTCCAATTGCCAACTTACTATTTCTCAGCAGTAACATACCCTCTGCCCATCGTATTGTGTATACATATTTCAATTAACTACGCTCGTGCATGTTCTCACTATAAGAACTTCTTCGACAGGTTTGTGCTCCTGACAAAAAAAGCTACTCCAACAGAGTAATGAAAACAAACGACTGAAATCGATACTACAAAAATATTTTGGTCACCATAACGAGTTTGTTGACCGATAATATGGGTCTATGGCTCAACTCACAAGGCCGTGACATGTTTTCGCAGTCAGTCCGAGATCTTCAGTAAACAGAATAGTCGTCTGATATGTAAACTTACCCCGTTCTTATTTTCATTCAGTGTAAACTCGCATTAAGGGTGATGCATGGATAGCAGGAGACGCTTACCTGTCGAAGAAATCGGTTTAGTTCATTGTGGAGTTCATGCGATTCCCTCAGTGTTTGTTTTTTACCGTGTATTATATCGTCTTGATAGATATATGAGATATGAATATGGTAAACTGATGATGCCTCTAGCTATGACAGATTTGACGCAGCTTTCTGGAATTTTTAGTTGTCAATTCTCATTGACGACAAGACGCACATATAGCGGTGTAAATTGTAAGCCTGGCGTCTTAAATGAGTCTTCACTTGAACATAAAATATACATATATTGTTTTTTTTTAAAGGATTTTCGCATACAATTTTTTGGGTTCAGAAAATCGCTTCGGATGTTCGAAATTATATAAGTGTTATTTTCATTTACTAGCATTGGGTCGATACCACGGCTGTTGACTGTTAGTCCTCGAGGAAATCATCTGCTCAGTAGCTTTGGTATTGACATGATTTAACACGTTTTTTTGTAAATTCCCCGTTGATAAATTAATATAAAATTTAAATGCTAAGGTTCAAACTCCCTCAACCAAAGTTGTCTTAGATGAATTTGTCTATTCTTTTTTAAGTCCCTTTTTGATTATATACCTTTTGACGTTTTCATACCTTATACTTCCTTGGCTTTCGTTTTTTTTAATGTTCCTGGTCAAGAAAAGCACTCCTTTATTATAATCAGACGACAACGATCACTATCACTTGAATATGATGTCAAGATAAAAAAAAATACACCGTGTATTACACAAATCACTGTCCTTGACTTAGTAACCATACAGCCTCAGAACCGACATAAAATTAGATGTGATATATCTATCTATAAAACGCCTAACGCTCTGATTCGGGTTGAATACAATAAAAACTAGTACGAATGTAAAATCTAATACTACTGATTTTGTTGCTTTACATAGTCATGATGTGTGTCGTGGAGTTTGACAGTACTCTTCCCTTAACCACGGACAGTGATAAAACAACCATATAGAATTAAAATGTATCTTGTTTTTAGCTTATTCTAGTCTTTTTAATTTCAGGTAGGCAGTTTTGTTTGAAATGGAATTTCGATGCTTTCTCTGCTCATTTTTATATTTATTAGAATATGTTGAATCTGAAAGTTTCTGCACAAAAGATTCTTGTCAAAGCGTACGGCATGAAGCGTTTCAGAATAAGATAATATTTGAACGTGATACTCTTTTTGCCGAAATATTTCTACCATCGATATTGAAAAAGACCAGCACAAAAATATCGCCGCCATCAGCTGATAGTTCTCTTTCAATTACCTGGCCTCGATATGGGTCTGTCGTTGTTAAGCAAGAATTGATTGGCGATGTTGGATGTCATGTTATAACATGGACAGTAACAAGCAGGGACTTTGAACCACATGACTGTATATCCTTAGCAGACGCATACTGGTATGGAGGATCGGAGTTACATTATCAACGATGGCCTTTTAGTGAAAATGAAATAGAATTACAAGAATTTGTCTCTGAAGATGTAGTTGTTATTAAAGGATCGTTTGGAAATGTTTTAGAACCGTTTTGGATTAATTCTAACGGTGTTGCAATTTTTGTAGATCAATCAGTTCCTTTACATGTTAGTTTTAACTCATCTGGGTCGTATCTCATGTGCTTTAAGGCAAAGTATAGTAACGCATTAAGAAAACAAAACGAAGAATATTCAACATTAAAGTACACTGTTTGCAAAGATAAAAATATCCTTACAGTATTTCAGAAATTAAGGCAAAGTGTTATGGATAAACCAGAAAATAGTCCTGATTTGCGGATGATTAAAAGTCCAATTTGGTCAACATGGGCTAAGTACAAAGTTGATATAAATCAAGAGAAAGTACTCCGATATGCCAATGAGATAAATGAATATGGGTTCTCAAACAGCCAGATAGAGATAGACGATATGTATTCAACAAAATATGGGGACTTTGATTTTGATTCAGAAAAGTTCAATGATCCTGTAGAAATGATTAAAGAGTTAAAACAAAAAGGTTTCAGGGTAACTGTCTGGGTAACGCCATTTGCTAATCTGGATTCGAAAGCCTTTACTGAGGGAATACGACATAACTATTGGCTTAGAGATATATCTGGAAACGTACCAGCTCTTGTTAAATGGTGGCAAGGAATAGGGGGAATAATTGACCCTTCAAATCCAAATGCAACTTTATGGTATAATAACCGGCTGAAAATGATGAAAGCAAACTATGGTATTGATTCTTTTAAATTTGACGCTGGGGAACGAACTTTCATTCCAATACCTTTCAGTTCTCATCAAACAATGAATAATCCAAACATGTTTGCAACAAAATATGTGGAAATGGTAAGTAACCATGGGAACTTGATTGAAGTGAGATGTGGTTATAAATCACAGAAACATCCTATTTTTGTTCGTATGGCAGACAAAGAATCACGTTGGGGCTATAAAAATGGCCTAAAGACCATTATACCTACAGCTTTGACCTTTGGTATCCTCGGTTATCCCTTTGTTTTACCAGATATGATAGGAGGTAATGGCTACGGAGAAGTTTTAGCTAAGGACATAATTTTGCCAGATCGTGAACTATATATAAGATGGTTACAATTAACAGCGTACCTTCCTGCTATGCAGTTTTCCTTCACTCCATGGGACTATGATAAAGAAGTTATTGAGATAGCACATAAAATGGTCAGAATTCATGAAACAGTTGTAACGCCTTTACTGCTTAGTTATGCTGAAAAGACTGTGAAACATGGTAAGTGTATTTTTTTTCATTACATTTAAGTCAATAATTTTTTAAATCGTTTATAGCTTTTCCTACATTGTACTTACTGATTCGTAAGCGACATCGTTTTTGTCTGAAATCACAGTAATTAGCTTAATCAGATAATACCTAGCTTTGTCAATTTAATAATTGTAAATTGCTTAATATTAAGATGTTTAATATATTATTTCGATGCCAGACCATTGACTACTGGATGACGTATTTAACCATACTCTAAAAAATAAACAAAGAAAACCTCTAAATTTAATCCCCTAAGCCCTGAATGCCTGACTGGAATGAAATTTTATCTGAGATTTTCGAATGTGGATGTAAGTAGTGTGACTGTCAACAAATTGTGTAAAATTGAGATAGTAGAATCAGATTGATCCTGAAGATTTGGTATTTACATAAAGTTCTCCTGCTTAGATTTAAGTTTGTAGAGGCAAGATGTTTCAAAATTAATAAAATCAAGAACCATGGAAATTTTAATGAACCCTTTTGTTTTGAAATGAATAAATCATCATACATACCAGGATTAAAATTTTGTACGTTAGACGCTCGAATCAAAAAAGTTAAAAAGGCCAAAATTGTCATTTCGTGGACTTTTATAGCTAACTATTGCTTATTGTTGATGGCCGTACGGGTGACCAATAGTTGTTAACTTCTATGTCATTTGGTCTCTGATGGAGTGTTGTCTCATTGGCAATCATTCCACACCTTTTTTATTTTTATTCAAATAAAGTACGAAGTTAAAGAGCATTGAGGACCCCAAATTGCGAAAGGTGTTGCCAAATACAGCTATGGCAATCTATTCCTGAGGTAGAAATCCTTAGTATTCGAAAAATTCAGAGTTTTGTAAACAGTTAATTGATAATTATAACCATATCAATGATATCTCATGTCAACACAGAGGTGCGATGTGTAAGACATGGTCATTCATTCAGTTTTTAGTACAGTTTCATTAAAAAATCATTTTTTCTAAAATTTGGTATAAAGTAAATACTCGAAAAATACAGAGCAACTGTGGCAAAGAAGACAAAAACGATAAATTCCAAAGCTTAGATTTTGACAAAACGAACCCCAGTGATATTAATATTGCTCCTGAAGAATTCTAGATTTCGATTCATTCACAACAATATTAAAATTATCCATTTGTAAATTCCTGTATCAATTAAATCATGATAGGAAACTCAAGTCCTTGCTTATGGTTTAGGTGGTAGACTTATACTCCAGAAAGGAGTTATTTTGTATAGAATTATTATGTCAATGAATGTTTAAAAAGATATACCTAATGATGAACGTGAATTGTCTTTAAGGGTCATTTTAACTAACAAAGTAATGGTAAGTAACGTTTCACTGAGGCTTTTTTATGTGGTAGGATTGCCGATGAGACAAATTTCAAGAAACCAAATGACATATAAGTTAGCCACTTCTGTCCAGTTTACGGAAAATATCGGCAAGTTTCGTTACATATTTCAGGTTATCCTTTGATTCGTCCAATGTGGTGGATAGCACCAGATGATAAGGAAACATACAATATCGATTCACAGTTTATGGTAGGCAACATGCTCATGGTGGCACCTATCTTAGATCCAGGAGCTAGACAAAGGGATATCTACTTTCCAAAAGGGATGTGGCGAGATAATTTAAATGGACAGACCATTAATGGAGGGCGCTGGGTTAGGAAATACCAAGTTCTAATAGATCAAATAGCAACATTTGATTTAGTATAGTTGCGTTAATCGAAATTCCAACGAATCAGGTTTTTTAAATTTTCTTTTGATTTCTGCCATTTTAAGGCTACATGCGTTTTTTTGTATTTTTTAGAAATCTTTCTACTAAAATGTTTTAGGTAAAATGAAAAATGGTAGAGAGGAACGTGATATGTTTTGATACATTTGAATTTTTTTTTCTAAGCAACATTAACTGAAGTAACGTTAATCAAACGGAAAAGACAAGATTTGCATTGAACAACAAAATTAAAATGTGTTGGTTTTTTTCAAGCTAGTATTTAATAATGCGTTTTGAGCGCTGTACAGAGGAAGAGTTAATCTTAACTATGAAATTTGACTTAATTTATAAACTATGATAGTCACCAATTATTTCAATATGCTCGTTTGAAGAAATTTTCTCAGAAGGACGCCATATGAAGACATTGATTTGCCATTATGCAATGATGTTAGAGTTGGTGTATTTTGCATTCTTCAGCATACCAACATACATTGTTTTGCTGCTAAGAAACATTCATATCTTTTGTTTTATTTACTCCATTCAACTAGAGTGAAGTGGCACACGGCTTATCCATAGAATATCAGTGTATGCACAATTATCTAATAATTAAAAACCGGTGTGCCGTGATATGTTTGTTCCCCAATCATTCAGAGTGGGCATGGTATGTAGATGTAATATATGCTATTGAATGAAGACATTTTTGAAAATTCAAAAGGTGACATGATAAATATGAATAATCGTTTAATAGATTAAAGTCAATTAACTCTAGAAATTTTAACTCCCCCCCAGATAAAGTTGAGCGCACCAGTATGAATGGTATTTCAGGAACACCTCAGAGTTCATCCATTTTTTTAGTTCGAACAATTAATGATACTTTGAATGTAGGTATGAAAATGTAATTGAATGGTGGTTCATTAACTCCTTATCCTTTTCACTTTTACTATTGGCACTTCTGAATAGTTTAGATACAAATTTGAAGATACGGTAACATAATCTAAACCATTGCTTTTTTTTTATTTTTCCAAGGGTACCATTAACCCAGTAGCCAGTGCTTCGGTACTGGCATGATTTAAATTATACATTTTTTGTGTACATTGGCGAAGGATACCAAAGGGACATTCAAACTCATAAGTCGAAAATAATCTGTCAACGACATTGCTAAAAAAGACAAACAGAGAAAAAAACAGTACACCAAACACAACATAGAAAACCAAAGACTGAGCAACACAAACCCCAGCAAATACTGTGGGTGATATCAGGTGCTCCGGAAGGGTAAGCAGGTCCTGCTCCACATGTTGCACTAATTGTGTTGCTCATGTTAGTACATACCCGGCGATTATCTAATTCGGTAGGTCACATTCGGGGCAAAGGGGACGGGATTGTAGTTACGACAATTTGAACATATCCGTTGTCATCTGTGAAACGGATATTCCATAACGGTTAACCAACTCTTGATGTCGTCCGTAAAATTTACGACGGGACGATTTCAACTTCACCACTTGGAACTCTTGGTTTAATAGCTTCCTTTGAGCAGCAAACCTCTATCAAGGAAAACAGGATATGAAATACAAGACCTGGAATATCGTATCAACTGGGAGATATATACTCCGTATGCAGGAGCTTTTTATATGTTGCTACATTGAAATTGAAAGTTCACAATTGGGAAGCTGAAATCATCTCTTTTGTGGTAAAGTTTTGTTTTCAACCGACCATCATTGTCAATTTCTAGATGTAAGTCAAGATATGAGGCTGACTTAAATGTATCTGTTGTATCCTTTATCTCAAGTTTGATGGGATAGATGCGTTCAACATAGTCACCAAATTTTGAATTATTAAGTGAGAGAACATCATCCATATAGCGGAGTGTGAAGTTAAAGGATACTGCTAACTTCTTTTCTTTCTTCCTAAGAAGTTTCTGTATGAAGTACAAATATGTTGTCAATAAAGAAATCAAGCATCTTGATAATGTCAGTTTCAGAGAATGTTTTGTTTGAATCAGAGTGAGTTTTGTACATAGTCGATTTATTACTCTCTAAGACAAGATACTTTTATCTGTATCTACGTTGGCCATTCTTTTTTATGAAACAAAGCAGGACCAACTCTTTCATTTTGTCTTTTAGTTTTGAATGGGGAATATTTGTGTTAAGTGTAGAAAAGTAAAATGTTTTAATATAAGCTATGTAAATGTATAAAAAGTGGAAATGCAACTCGTGCAAAGTTTACCACTTTTACTGTTCTGTTTATGCCTTTTATATTTTTGGTTTCTAAAATGTTGGTCTGAATCATACCTTATGATAGTTATTTCAGAAATAAATCGGTATCATACGCTTGTTCACCAACTATTTATTACACATAAACAAAGGAGATATGATACATACATCAACGAGACAGCAACCAAACGACAATCCCTTCCCCCCCCCCCCCCCCCCCAAAAAAAAAGGAAACCTAGAGGGCAACATTCAATCTTTGAGGGTATGAGGGTAGAAAAGTATCTTTACAATGTGTCAAGCCCTCAATCACATCAAGTCTATACCATTTGTGAATAAACAGATACCATCAAGGATCTACTTTTAACACTTATTCTTTAAAAAAAACACCAAATATTAAGAAAAAAGTAAAATAACAAAAATACCGAACTCAAAGGAAAATTCAAAACGGAAAGTCCCTTATCAAATGGCAAAATCGAAAGCTCAAACACATCAAACGAATGGAAAACAACTGTCTTATTCCTGACTTGGTACAGGCATTTCCTTATATAGGAAATGGTGGATTAAACCTGGTTTTATAGCTAGCTAAACCTCTCACTTGTATGACAGTCGCATAAAATCCCATTATATTGACAACAATGTGTGAACAAAACAAACAGACATAATAGGTAAAAATGTCAAAAATAGGGGTACAGCAGTCAAAATTGTGTTATAAAAGACATACGTCAATTACTAGTAGGTTCCTGACGTGGGACAGAAACATAAAAATTGGCGGTGTTTAACTGTTTTTTGAGTTCACAACCCTTCCGCTCTTTAATCATTTAATCATGATTAGTAGATAAACATAACGCACATAAAAAACATAAAAAACATATTTAAGAAAAGCCAGTAAAAGAAAAGAATTTAACTATAAAATAACGATATATTAAATTTAAAAAAAAAAACACAAAACAAATAACAAATTATACCGTATTGAAGAATAGCCGAAGTTACTGAAAGCAAGCTCAAAGTACTAAACCTGCCGACAATCATACCGTCCTTACCAACATCGGTTGCTGTACTTCATAGAATATTTCATACAGTAACGTCTTAAACAGTAGAGGAAGACAGGAGCTTGTTCGATGCATAACATTAACTATAGTTGAAACATTTTAGTACGGTTTATCTCATTTATAAGATAAACAATTTAATGAAAGAGATTTGATTAATTTATGTATTTTTCCGTAAAAAAACTATTGCATTATTCGAGTCCGAATCTTGTTTCCCGCTAATTAAAATCACGTGACTCTTCAGCCTTACATTGAACTAGCCACTCTTGTAGATAAGTGAAAGTTCCAAAAAGACAATCGTCAAGAAATCTACGACATCCGCATTTCATATTCTAATATTTAGATATGAAACCACCGATTGTTTCTTTTAATCCTCCAAGAAAGGATTTGCATCAGCCAGGACCAGCCAAGAAACTAAAAAAGGCAAACAGAGACCACTTGATCCGGTGCCATCAACACGAGGAGCAATTCAAGTATCTCCGCCAAGAAATGAACACAATGTACCAGTTTCAAGGACAGTGCCACATGTGGAGCAGGATCTGCTTACCCTTCCGGGGCACCTGAGATCACCCCCATTTTTTGGTGGTGTTCGTGTTACTTAGTCTTTAGTTTTCTATGTTGTGTCATCTGTACTATTATTTGTCTGTTTGTCTTTTTATTTTTGGCCATGGCGTTGTCAGTTTGTTTTCGATCTATGAGTTTGACTGTCCCTCTGGTATCTTTCGTCCCTCTTTTCGAATTTGTCAGTGGCTCATGGACCGGTGATCAATATCATGGCAGACTCAAAACATCATGAGCATCCATTCATTCCATTCAGGATCCAGCAAGAGACACCACAAGAAAGTCCACGACGCAACGAGGAAAAAACAAGATACAGGGGCCCAAACATTGGTCTTCAAAGCAGAGGGCCGTACATACGCTGGTTTGGAAAAAGGGGTATGTTGTGGAATGAACTTAATGCCACAGTCTCGCATGCAACTGACAGTTTTTCTCCTTCTGTCATGATAATTATTCAACTTGGTTCCAACGATCTAATAAAAGTTAAAACCATTGAAATAATTCAAAATATTGAAAGGGATCTTCTGCGTCTGCAGCTATTATTACCTAACGGTTACAATGAAGTAATTATTTACATAGGCGACAATGGTAGCCTTTTTGAGTACTGCGTTTTTACTATAAAAGATCCGTTGATAAAACTTTCGAATTCTGAATTATCAACACCTTTGGGTGTGAATAAAACTGCAAAACACATATGGTGCCGCAGCTTTTTGATAGAAAAATGGCATTTTTTTAAGGGTACTCAACGGTTCCGGAGTTTTCGAAATAGTATGAATGAAGAACACCCCTTGCTTAATTTTGCACACAAAATGTTTCTCGTCACAGAAAGTTTCCTCCAAATTTCTCGCTATTTCTACACCAAAGGCCAACACTCATTTCTCACTATTTCAATTTTGTTTTCTTATTACCAGGGCAGCAGCAAATACATTTACTTCTACCTATTATCTTAGGTGTAAAATCAAGGTGGCGCCAGTCATCTGTTATTACTTCCTTTTAACCAAACACTCGCATGTGGAGCGAAATAATCAAATTTTAAAGTAAATTTGGATTTTATTAGATAAATACTTACCATCATAAATTCTGAGTATACCCCAACTGCGTCATAAGGTCAGATGGAATATCCCCGACTAAAAATAAACGCACTATCACTGGTCCGGATATATACCCCTGTGTGTCAATATTCTCCCATTCAATTTCCTCAAGACAGAAACGTAAGGAAAGGGGATGAAGGGGAGGCGGTCGGGACCTATAATTTATGATGGTAAGTATTTATCTAATAAAATCCAAATTTACTTTAAAATTTGACTATTTTATAGCTATAAATACGTTACCATCATAAATTCTGAGTAACAGAATCTAACGTAAAGCTGAATCCCCTGTAACAGAAGAACCAGGAGCTGAAACTATGGGTCCAAGCGAGTATAAAGTCTCGGCAAAAGTAGCCATAGATTGGAGGTAATGAGAGATAAAAGAGTTCTCATTTCTCCAGAAACCTGCAGACAATACCTCTTCTAAGGATGCACTGTTAAACAGAGCCCAGGATGTAGAGATACCCCTAACATCATGAGCTTTAACATTAAAAAGTAAATTCACAAAAATACTGAACTCCGAGGAAATTTCAAAAAGGAAAGTCCCCAATCAAATGGCAAAATAAAAAAAAACAAACACATCAAACGAATGGATAACAACTGTCATAGTCCTGACTTGGTACAGGCATTTTCTTATGTAGAAAATGGTGGATTGAACCTGGTTTTATAGCTAGCTAAACCTCTCACTTGTATGACAGTCGCATCAAATTCCATTATATTGACAA